CGAATTCGCTCTAGATCGCGTCGAAGATAAACTAGTATTATCTGCCGATATTCGAGGTGTCGAGCGAATGAACCAGCCGACTATGCATCAATGAGGATTCATCAAACTCTGTGTAGCGTGTAATAGTAGCGTAATCTTTATCTTATACGTTGTCGACAAGCCGTTAAATTGCTTTTCCGACACCACTTTTCCAACTCCTTCTGTGAGGTTTCTCGGGGAAACGTGCGTATGCGCGTGCGTATGTGCGTGTTACGCACTCTCTTCTCTCCGAATACCATTGATTTCTTTTTTTTTCTTTCTTACCATCCTCTAAGCTCCTTACACGACAGCAGCGCGTTCGGTCTCTTCTTGGTTCTCTTTCTTTTAGATATATCACTTTAATGTTAAGTAGGTCTTTTTATTTGGAATCGCGATGGCGGAGATAGCAATGATTTTTTTCAAGTCTCTATTGTACAATGTGAACGCTGTGTTCTATCGCTTGGAATGTTTAGCGTTATACTCTCGATATAATTTCGATCAATAATCTACGATTAGGATCGTAACTTAAGGATAACATATATGCATAAACGTAAATGAGAAGAAGGATGCTGTACGCGCAATCTGGCGTGGAATAATGCGCGGTCGCGAAGATTCGAAAGTTGTTCGCGCCAAAATCGAACGAAAGATAACGGGAAAAGGAATTTAAATCCTTCCGCTTAGGAAGACACACACTCGCCCTTTGCATCCGACGAAAAACAAGGGGATATCCTCGAGGACATCGCGGCGATGCGCTAAAAATTTTTATAAAATTGGAGAAAACGACAACACGAGATTCAGTCCGCGAAATTTCACGTCGAAAAGAATATGAGAAACAGCACGTCGAGAACCCCAAAGTTATTATTATTCCACGTAGCATTGCGTGATACAGCGTCACAATTTGACTTCCATAGTTAAGAAGATATACCAGTTACATTAGGATATTATAAGGATAAGACGAGCACAGCACATTTCAGCCTGTACTTTTATAAAAAGAGCGATCAAAAAAAAAACGTCGTAGACCTTGGAACACAATTGTTGCGTCCGTCGTAAGATCAATTACATCTCAGCGCTTAAAAATCCGCGAGTTCAATCAGGTTTCGTGTAAGCTCTCTCTCTCTCTCTCTCTCTCTCTCTCTCTCTCTCTCTCTCTCTCTCTCTCNCTCTCTCTTCTTTCTCTTTAAAAAATTCATTCGTACCGTGGCGGAAGTGTTGGTGTACCGGCATTTCTCGCCATGGAGACGATTTGATTGCTTGATCCTCGCGCGAAGTAAAGGCGCGTTGTTAATTAACGAACGAGAAATTAGCGCGTTTGCGTTCGGAATCGAATTTGCAAGTTTAATCTTTTCATCGGTGCAATTGCCACGGATGTCTTTCAGCGTGTAAAAACGATTCTGTCTCGATTCTGCGTTTAGTACGGATCCAATTCTGTGATTACATCTAGCGCTGTCGATATAAATCAGATAGTACTTTTCTCATACCGGTTATCTATTCGTCATTTTGGATGATATCTGAAATAACGGACAGATAATCGGGTAAATAATACCCGGGTGGTATTCCGGATGACAAAAGTCACGGAGTAGTACCCGGGTCGCGACGTACGACGCAGTGAGGAGGCGGGTCATCAGCGCGGACATAAAATAAATAGCATTTTTCCTTATCGGACATCCACGTGTGTAGAGAATAAAATATACTCACAATGAGACGCGGAAAAAAATAAAAAGTACAAATGTAGCAGCTATACACGGTCCTGATTGAATGGCTGAACGAAAAATATAGGAGTTGTAAAGGCATAAAAACAGAACAGAAGAAAAATGATAACAAGGAAACGAAGGAGAGAGAGTGTGGTCTAATAGAGAATTAATATAAAAAATTATTACGACTATATCACACGAGTTTGAATGCTCCGTCGAGTCTACTCTTTGAATATCCTTTCAGTTTTTCACCCGGACAAAGAACCTCCCTCCTTCTGTGGTGTGCTATATAATTTCTCTTTTTATTAAAGATGCAATGATTGTATATGGGCTGCGTTTGAGTCATGACCGAATGTAACGATTTATTATATAAGTAATGCAAAATAAATGGAAGATAAGTGCAAGGAATAAAACAAGCACGAGGCAGTCCTTCTTGTGACTTCTTTGCCTTCCCCGCACCCGCGAGAAACCGAACGAACGTGGAAAATGTTCGTTAAAACAACTGATAATTAATTAAATAACATTTTTGTAATTATCAATACTTGCATTTATGCAATATACGCGTATCTTTCACGTACATATTTATCATCAATATTTTGATTAAAAATTTCACGAGCATACAATAGTTTAAGGAAAGTCTCAAGAGACATTTTTGAATTATTTAACTATATATAACAGTGAAATTACGACAAAGCCATATCATGTGACACATCATGTTAAAATTTATTTTGTACCGTGCAAAGTCAATTGTAACAGTACAAATGATATATTGCAATAGTACAATCTAATTTACATTATTTACACATTTTATATGTACTTAAATATTAAATCTTCCTTTCTATTAGTGGTTACCAGTTCTATTTTGACGGGACATTGCAGCCAATAACTCAGGAACTCTTCCGTATAACCAGTTAAAAAATATATTTTGGTGGGTGCTATGGTGCGACTGATTATTCCAGCTATCCTAATGATATTGTGCTGTCGTTTAATGATAACTTCAGTTGCGAACAAATTGTGCCAAGTACCCCTCATGAAATGTCGAATGAACATATCCTCTATAGTTGTTTCAGAAGGTCTGTTGCCATCCTTAATGTTTGCTAAAATATTAACAGAAAGATAATAAGCTCAGTCAGAGTATAGGGGATCGATAAGCTGGTTTATTCTACTACTATTTACAGGTGTTCCAAGCATTCCAAGACTTCTTATGGGCAATAAAATGAGGCGGACATGCCATTTCATACGTCAGTGGCTTGTCTCTGTTGATTGTGACTTTGTAACGTCCAGACTGGGTTTTGTTGACGACCGCACTCGCATGAAAGTGTCTCTGTGTGGGGATTTGTCGAATGACGGGTAGTACCTGAGGATCATCGAAGTAAAATTGTCAACTTTGCTACAAAATAACGTGTAACGTGTCGTTACGGAAAGGTTATGACGGGAAATTCTATTGAAAGAAAGAAGAAACTCATTCTCGATATAATTCGCAAAGCCAAACTTCAGTACATTTTTCATGTGTCGTAGTGACATTATTTTGCAGCGACGGCACTTCGACGTTCAATTAATTGACCGCAAATTATAAAGTGTTACTTGATTTGTTGACACCACAGTGACACAATGAACACTGAGTAGCCATATTACGAGCTCGATTCAGCCTTAAAATCGGTGGCGGCTCGTAGCGAAAATTTCATGAATTAATAAATATTTTGTCAGAAAGAAATTCGTTTCTCTAGAGGGCGCGTCGAAGAAAACGTTCTAAAACTAAACTTGTGGCTATTCTCGAATTTTTCTCCGTTGTTTATTGGTCAAGTAGTACAACTCAACGATCGAGTAACCGAATCTTTAACTCGTCGGGTGCATGATTGAACAGTGTAGCTCGGATAAACTTTCATCTTTAATTTATTAAGAAGGAATAAATATTTTTCTGACTTGACGATGAATTATGTTGCTGAAAAAATGAAAATCCGAGCGGAACAGGTTTCATGGCAATTCGATTGAAACTACACCTGCATAAAACTATATCCAACAAAAGTTATAATTTTTAATTTTCCCGTAAGTCCTAGATAATAATTTTACCTTTGCAAATCAAAGTTTTATCTTCTAAATGAGAAATATTGTGAGAAGAAATTATGAAATTTTAAAGAAACCTAACCTTTCAGCCAGCCGGCAACATTTCTTCTAATCAACACTTGTTGCTAATTTCCATGTGTCAATTTTTAGACATTTCCTTTCATCTTAACTAGCTTCATTAAATGTTGCATGCTTTTCCTCTTCTGTAATTTAAATAGCACTGTTCATTTTTTTTTCACTGAATACTTTTAAGGACAGCTTGAGTACCTCTGCTAAGTGCAAAGATTACACTTACCACAAGGCATTATCCTGTACGCAGAATCCGCAATACATATCGAATTGGAACACATACCATCAGAATGTTAACCACAAACAGTGTCAGATTAATTCTTGAGAAACATTTCACCAAGAGGAGTTATATGGGTAACACATACTGTCATTTGAAAACCTATCAGGACAATTACAAGGATCTAGTTCGGACATGTAGTTATTCCACAAAATTCGATGCCAAGAATAATAGTGAATCGCCAGCTGACCCCAGAGTCCAGGCGCTCCGTGAGAAATTAATATATTGTGACTACCTGGACCGTGACAATGTGAAACCAGGTATTCTGAAACGTTTCATATGGAACAAGAAGCTCAGATTCATCGAGAAACAACTGCAGGTTGATAAACTCGTGAATGAACCTGTCTACAGCATATTCTTGGACGAGTATGTCAAAGACAACGAAAGTTTGCAGGAAGATAAACAGGAAGATAAACAGGAAGATCATACAAATCCGAGGGAAAATATAACAAGACCCGTGCACATGCCGTACGCCAGTACGGACAAGTACAGCAGCACAGACACAGGCAAGAGCAATTTTGTTGAGATCGATTTTGACGAGAGCATGTTACCGTTGAATGAGAAGTACAGGAGCCTTTATGAAAAATACCTGGAGGCAAAGAATGCCACCGAGGAAAACAGTGGCAAGGAGCTCAAGCTGGATGAATACATGAAAGAACAGACAAACGTGTCTTACAAGACAGATCTGTCGAACGTCCCGTTCAATTGGATGGCCGACTTTGAGGAATTCGACGACACGATGCAGGAGAAAACGTGGCTCAGCAACTATGGTACCCCGGATCCAGAATCCAGCGTCAGCTCCGTACCATGTGGCGGATGCGGCGCCTTGCTGCATTGCAAGGATCATGCTTTACCGGGCTACCTGCCGTCCGAGCTCTTCCTGAAGAAGAGCAAGCACAAGCAGCAAGTTATGATCTGTCAACGGTGCCACTTCCTGAAGTACTACAATGCTATGTTAGAGGTGAAGGTGTCGCCAGAGGAGTTTGCGGAGCTTCTCAAGGTTATCAAGACGAAGAAGTGCGCTGTGATTCTGATGGTCGATCTCACGGACTTCCCGTGCAGCATATGGCCGGAGATAAACAGCGTGCTGCACCCTTTCACGACGGTGTTCGTCGTGGGCAACAAGGTCGACCTGTTGCCTCCGGACTCGCGGAGATTCCTCACTCACGTTAAGGAGTGCCTTTCGAGGGCCGTAGAGAATATGGGGGTCGATAAGAAGTGTATCAAATATGTGGGGCTCATATCCGCGAAAACCGGCTACGGCATAGAGGAGCTCATCGACAAACTGTACAGTCAGTGGCAGTACAAAGGTAAACGCGTCTGCCCTAAATATTATTCCTGTTATTCTTTGTAACATTCCAGAAAAATGCGCAAATGCTTCCCTCTTATTATCGTATATACATATAATTATATATAGTATGTATAATTAATATATGTAGTATTCATGTTATATACTATACAGGATGTCGCAAAAAGATGTTATTACACTTTGATTGTTTATAAAGTGCTTATTAAATATCGTACAATTTGCTTTCAATGTTTATAACGAACATTAGTGTGATAACATTTTTTTGCGACACTTTGTATATATTATATATGAATTATAATTATATATAACAATAAAAGAAAAATGCGCATATTTGTCTTATTAAGAATAAAAATATATATACACACATACTCGCACGCACGCGCACACAAACACACTAGTATATAGTTATATATAATTAAGTAAATAAAATGTGTATTAATTATATAATCAATTAATTAATCTCTAGGAGACGTTTACGTGATTGGATGCACCAACGTAGGCAAGTCCTCGCTATTCAATGCTCTATTGCAGTCCGATTATTGCATGGTGCAGGCCGTGGATCTCATACAACGCGCCACCGTATCCCCCTGGCCGGGCACGACCTTGCGCTTACTGAAGTTTCCCATTATGAACCCGCAGAGGTGGCAACTTTACATGAGGATGATTCGTTTGAAGGAGGAGAGGCAGGAGTCAAAGGCCGAAGAGGAGATTAGAATCAATGATTTCAAGATGACGCGTAATCTGAAATACGTTACGTTGCAAAGTACGCATTCGGGCGGGAACGACCGATCGTCTCTTGGTTCTCCCTGAATAAATATATACACTCCGAATTTAGGTCACATCGGCCGAACTTTCTCGCAAAATTTCGAAGTCCAGCCGAAGGGCAACCTGCTCATCATGAAGAAGTACAACACGAGCATGCAGAACTTCTGCTTGGACGAGACCAGGAAGTACAAGTACAGCCGATGGTGTTACGACACGCCCGGCACCATTCAACGGGATCAGATTCTGGATCTACTGACGACAGAGGAACTGTTGCTGGTTTTGCCGCAGCGGACAATCGCACCGAGAACGTTCATCTTGCAACCGAGTCAGACGATATTCTTGGCCGGACTTGGTAGACTGGATTTCCTGGAGGGCGACGATTTTATCAGGTACCTGCGCGTAGACGTGATGTCGATGTATCTCCGAGGATATGCCAATGGTGAAAATGATCGCGTGTAACTGTCGTGTAGGTGTACGATATTTGCGAGCCACAAGTTGCCGGTGACTTTAACTCGAATTGTGGACGCGGATGACGTATACAACGAGTTGTTGAGCACGGAAGCCTTCGTCGTGCCTGAGAACAATCCGGACCGACTGAAACACTGGCCGGCGTTAGGATCCAAAGAGATGGAAGTCACCGGTATCGGGAAGAACATATCGGTTGCCGATGTTGTTTTATCAAGCGCAGGTAATGATAATAATAATCTGATAATAAAGGCTATCTAATAACAGTTAACAAGAATAACTTAATATTAATAAGAAGATTATATATATATAAGAATAGATATATAAGATGTATAAGATATATAATAAGATCAGGTTACCACAGACCTGAAAAGCCGGGAAAAATCGTAGAAATTGGAAAAAATGCCAGGGAAAGATAGAAGAAATCTGAAATTTCGAACTTTGCTCGCAATTTCCTTAAATGTGTATTCTTTTTCCGATACTCATTAATTTTTTTATTGGTCAGAATTTGCATTCAGGATTGTGTCGTTAAACTTTTAAGCTTGTGTTGCTCTCCTAACAACATAAGCTTTCCTGCAATCACTGCTTCCAAACATTAAAGTTTAAGATTACATATTGCTCATGGGAAATTCTGTCGTCTGGAAAACAATGGAAGAGTCAGGAAATTTCAAAATTCATTTTCTGTGGTAATCCTGAAGATTATCTGATGCAACAAAAATAATCTAATGTAACCTTGTGTCAAAATGCACGAAGCTCGTGCTCGCGCTTCGACTTTCGATTTTATAGCCGGAATAATTTGGCGATTGTTATAGGGTGGATGGCGATCAGCACCGAGAAGGACTATCGTGTCTTATTGAGGGCCTGGAGCCCGCAAGGTCGCGGCTTACACCTCAGAACGCCAGCACTCCTGATGAAATCCGTTGGCCTGCGCGGCGATCGGATTCCATCCACGCCGACGTACAAGGTCGGACGAGCAGCGTATATTAAGACATAAAAAAAAGAAAGAATAATCTCCACACGTGTTTCATTCATATGTATATATACCAAACGTTTCTCTCTTTTCCCCACATTATACACATCTCCTTCCGACATTTGTATATGTAATCGATTCATCCACATTTATTTCGTGCGACAACCGGTACTCGGCTCGGAATTGATTGCTCGACACTGACGAATCACCAATCACAACTGCTCGTGCCACACGGGGTCCTTTAAACACTGTGTTCGAACAAAACTTTCGTCGATCGAACCTGTTTCCAAATACAAGGGTCCACATGAAGATCCAAAGCGCAAGAACACAGATATCACATCAACCTTCGACCTCCTGCGCGCGTATCTTCGCTTGTTTGTACATCCTTTTGTAGAATTTCTCGAGATTCTTGTAGAAACCCTGACTCGAGTCGTGATCTCGCGTGAACTCGCAACAGGAGTCGCAGTCCGTTACGCTGAAACATTTCCGGAGTTCGAGTGTCGAATTTTCGAGTGCGCGCGCGACGACAATTTTACTCGCAGGCTACTTACTCGTCCACCTCCGCGGCGCACAGTTTCTCCCTGGTTTTCTGGAGATTTTTTATTTTGTGCAACCTGTAACGCACAATAAGTGGCACAGTGATATCGTGCGTGTAAGGAAAAATGTAAGTAAAGAGACTCGGCTCGATGAACTCACAGCGACATCGTTGGTTCCTCTCGCGTGTCGGATGCGTTGCTCGGCCCGCAAACACAGCAACACACACTGTTATCGGGCCGACTTTTGTGATGATGCGCGGTATCGCTGTATTTTCGTTTAGGATCGGCGTAAGATCCTCCAGCTGCTGCCGAATCGTGGCATTTAGAAAAGTAACAATTATACTTCAAACAAACCGGACAATTGTCCGTAATATGGCTATTATCACACGTGACTGGCTTCTGCGGACACGATCGAGGCGTACATGCGGAATCTTTCCTGCGATAACATTGGTGATCCTGACGCGGTCCTGTCCGATGACTCGTGATACACTGATATTGATGAGGATCACCCACGCTACTCGATCTCTGGCGATATCTACGAAAGTATGTAATATATTAGAGAAATGGGCAAATATATATTTTATTAATTCTATATACGTACACACAGAGAGGCTGTGTTCCAAAATTCACTGCTAGCGCTGAAAACCTATGTAGTTCATGTTACGTACGAGTATACTCGTATATCATAGACTTTGAGTACTGGCAGTGAATATTGGAGCGCAGCCATAGAGTGTTACTGCGCGATCTCAATTCTACTGAGAGGTAGTCTGAACAATTTAAAATTAATTTTCCCTCAGCGAAAGCATCCAAGCACCAATAGTTTCCAAGATATTATAAGCGATCAAAAAAGCGGGAATTTTCACAAACCTAACTTTGAATGAAAAAATGACGAAATAGAAAAAAAAACCATTATTTTTTTAAAAATTCGTTAGGAATAACGAATTTTCCTGCGATATTTTCAATGAGGAAAACTTGTCTCCAAGTTACTTAGAGAAGACTAGAATTAAGATCACGAGGTTTTGGATACCTTGTATATATAATATCCTACATGTGTGTGTGTGTGTATGTGTGTGTGTGTGTATGTGTGTGTGTAATTTTATAAATATATATTAATTTATATTAATAATACTAATAATAAAACGTTCGACAGTAAAACTTACGGTCGGCTGCTCTGAGATCTCGGCTTGGTATGGCATACCCTTCGTTGCCTTATGATACCTTTAACCGGCCTCTTTCTCTGGCCGCACGTGGCAGTTTGCTGAAACATACCAATGCATGCGAAACGCGACGAGTCCTCCCAATTCACACACGAATGTACAAAAAGAGAAACGAATCAAACGGCGCGCGCGTTTAATTCACCGATTTCGACCGCCGTAATCTGTGAAGTACCTTAGAGTTAATCATTTTTGGATTGACGACATAACATTTGCTCATACTTGTGTCGCAGGGGCTCGGCACTTCCTCGACCACCGTTTTCGTGGACACCTCGATTTTGGGCGCTATGATACCCTGAATACGCGAAAAGAAATAACGGATGAGGAATCTCGTCTCGCGAGTCGGATCGAATTTTCTCGTCGATGCGCGACGAAAGAAAACGTACCGGAAAGCACTTGGTCGGTTCCATCAGTAGGTCTACATCCACACCGGCCAATAAACCTTTGAAACACGGCGCTGGGTACAGCAAGTCCGCCAAGTTCGTCTCGAACGTGGCCAGGGTGACGCCGCGACCGTTCGCGGTGACCCATTGTATCAGTTCCACGTAGAGAAACTCCTGCTCCAAAGTGCGCTGTAGCTCCGCCAAGGAGATTATCCGTGTGAATACCTTGCTGAAGGCGAATCTGTCGTGGAACAGCAGCGGGAATATCGGGCTTATTCGGCGGGATTCCGCGCAGGAGTTCAGAATGTCGATCCGCAGGGCCACCTTGCCGTTTGGACACAGCCAGACGCCGGGACATGTCACCTAAAAAGCGCGACTTTCCACGTAGAATGATTTCACAATCCTTCGTGTTACTTTCCAATAGCGGATTCGATTACTACACCGGATTAGTAAACACTAAAGGCCTACACAAAGGCTTACATTTTCAACACTCTTTTATTGATAAAAGTGCCTCTAAAGGTGATAAAAAACCACCCGATTGACTGATAACCCACATTTAAGACACTTCAAAACATAGGCCCAAATATCCAAATACAATGGCGTATCATAAGTATTTTGACGATAAAATAAAAATACTTAATGTATATTTTTTCTAAATAACGTGATAATGTCATTATCAGGTATTTAATTGTTCGAAATGCTTATATGCCTTTTTATATAACAATTGCTTCATATATGAAAGTCTTCGGCATGCACCAATTCGGTATAGTATGGATAAGCAAGTTTGTTATAAATTTCTTGGAATGTAATCTCATTCGATACGAGTGAAAATTTTGCTGTTAGAAATTGTAAGGGTGAATTTACAATAGATGTAGAAAACTTTTAGTCTTTTGCTCTCTAAGCACTAAATTATAATATAATTTCTAGCAAAAAGCATTTCCAGCGCTACTAGATATTACAATTCCTAAAGTTCGATCACAAAAGGATCATTACTTATCATTCTGATAGCAAGGGAAACGCTTTTTGTCAGAATTTACATTACATTTTATTATTCGGAACAAAAAGTTAAAAGCTTACTGCGTCTATTGTAGATCCAGACTAAGTGAATATTTCACTCAAGCTTAGAGTAGATTCTGACTTTTCACTAACTATACAAATAAATATTTCTATTGATTAGAATGAAATCGTTCCTGCGACGATAAGATACATCTGATTCACTCTTCGATTTTGAAAATATCCACTCAACAATTCAGAGTGAAGCATCCACTCTACATGAATGAGAAATCGTCTCAAATTTAAATAACTCGTTCTATTTTTCAAGTGACATCTCGCTCCAAGAAATTTCAAGAGACGCGTTGGAATCCACGACACGTATGTACCGCGTGTATATCCAAATGTATCTTGACGCAGAAAGCCCTGCCTGCCATGTTCGGATTGACAGTAAATTCGTGACAGTCGATCATATGGTCACGGGCATCGTCGCACAGATTCGCACTCGTGGATCTCGCATTCCGATCGTACTCTCATGACGATGACGAACGACGTGCAGGTTTTCGCGCGGGCCAAGTGTCCGCGTCCAGACCGCGCTTATCCGGAGACTCGTCTCGGCAAAAAAACCACGCACACCTCCGGCGGCCTATGTCATCTTGCTCGGGGAGCCGCCACAGTGCTTCTTGTTGCCAGGAAACGGCGGCACAACATTGGTATTGAATTTTCTCCAAGTTCAGCCGATAGAACAACTAATTGAAATTACTTTTTGCTAACAAACGGGATCAATGATTCAATGATACATGTGAAAAATTTATTTCGAGTGGATTTTGTTATTTTTTCTCATCAATCCTGGAGTAGTTGCATACCTAAATGCAACACGAGTGGTCGCGTGGATGATGGAAATGTCTTCCACTTTTAATTGATACTTTCAATGAGAAATCGCTTTAAAAAGCAATAATATTTATTTATATGGGAATAACAGTCATAAAAGATCATAAAAGAACGAGAGCAGTCCCTAACTGACAAATACATGGAAGTGCAAGATGGATGCATTAAGGAGCAAGGATGCATAAAGTATCTAAGGAGCAATAATATGATGGTACGAGTGATACTTGAAGTATTGATATTTATTTTAAAATATGTATATCAATAGAAAACACATACATAACAAGCGGAAGACCGTGGCTGATCAGTCAGAGGTTTCCCAGGCCGGTAACATCGTTGTTTCACCTCCCTCCCCTCCCCTCTTTCTCCTTCGTGATCTCCGATCGATCCAACCAGAAATTGTTCTCATAAATATAAGGCGATACTCGTAGTAGTATAAGGAACTAAAGCGCCACTCGTTGTTTTTTTTCCTCTGCACTGAGTCTGGCATTGCGTCTCTAAAGCGTCACGCTACTTCGAACGGTTCGTCGTTGCTCGCCGACCACGCCGTCGACGATTCGCTCACGACGTGGGCTTGCTTTGGAAGATTCGCTTTACTTACAGAGCTCTACGAGAAATCTAGAAATCATTTTCATTCGCGACACACCGTGAACACAATTATGGCAATAGGTGCGGGCTGACGAGCCAACCGGTATAACTTTTTTTTTCTCTCCTCAAGAAAATCGAAAACAGCTACGAGTGCACACGATTTCAACTCATTAAAGCAGTCGACACGCTTTCGATCGCGAGTTAGACCGACGAAGTGAGAGTGACGTCAAACGCGAGATTCAAAACGACGCGGTTCGTGGGTTTAACGACGGGTGTCTGACTTGCAGCATCGAGCGAGACGCGAAACGCCCGACGTTATTCTCTTTGCTATAGTTAGCTGCCGACTTTTATATTTATATCTCTATAAATATTGGAGCCAGAGATTCTCACAGTTCAGACAGACGGAGAAGACGCGCGTATCTTCGACGCGGATCGTCTTCCGCTACCGACGAGACGCTGAGAAATTTCAAAGTAAATTTCTCGATAAAAAATTGACTTTCTCGATTCTTCTGTGAATCCTAATCCTTCCCGATCCGGGACGGCGAAAGGAAGATCGTCCTGAGTTTTCTGTTCAATTTTGCGTTTTAGGTGAAACAATTCACACAGACGTAACAGACGATATTCGGACTAGAATCACCGGTTCGGAAAGGATTGGGAAACGTGTATCTAAAACAATAGTGCTGAAACTTTTCAGGGACGTACCTCGATATAACGATATGTCTCAGAGATGTGTGGTTCTGTATCGCAACGAATAACGTAGCTGACCACAGATATGTCTCAGAGTCGTTTAACGATCCTCTTCCCTTCTCTCTCTCTCTCTCATTGCCGTCGCTGACTATTATCACCGCCATGATAAAGATAGCGCGAGACATTCGGATGCGGTTCATCGATATATATCCGTATTATAAAATCGCTACAGTAGTAAGACGCGTTCGGTATTATCCTTACATCCTTAAGTTACTTTCCGTCCGAAAGATACTGATTCTGCTCGGCGGACAAATTCGACAGGATATCCGCAGCCGTCGAAGACGTATCCCTCGCTTCGCTGAGACGTTGCTTTATGTTTCTGAAAAAATGGGTCCTTTCATTTAGCCGCAATATATAATTCGCGTACTTGGAGGAACTTGCGCACAAAATGTCGAGAAACTCATTCGTTCCTTTTTCTTCCGCACAGCTTTCATACAGGGTGTCCCAGAAAATAACCACATGCGGATAATGTAGACTAAAGCTAATAAAATAAATATTTGGTTAGGTAGAGGAAAAACAACCTACATGATTCATGTGATATTTTGTGGTTTCATAAGGCGCGTCTCACACCGTTCCTAACTCGTACACAACCTAGTACTCTAATTCTACAATTTTAAACAGTTCTCGTTTAAAAACGATCGTTTAGACGGAATTCTGATAAACTAGTAGTTGCGTCGTTTAGAGAGAAGAAGAATCTCTTCTCGGTGTACTCGGCATGCGGTTTTATTCTGGAACACACTACATAATTTTCATCCGTACCTTTTCTGCTCACCGAGCAATCTGCTGTTTCCCTCACCGAGTTCCACGTCCGCCATCTTATCCATGTAGGACCTCTGCTTGTCCGCATTGTAGTGCGGCAGATCGAGGTTGCCGTTATGGTGATACCCGTTCTCGTACCTGCTCAGGTAACCGTCCAACAGTGGCGACTTGCAAGTGTCGCGCGGCGACAGGTAATCGGCGTTGCTCGGCGACAGGATCTCCTCGTAATACTCCACGCTCTTCGGCGCCAGGCTGCCGACGGTGGAGCCGTATTTCCTCGGCAAGGTCGCCGAGACGCTCCTGCCGCAGTAGGAGTCCGCGAGAGAGGTATCGTTGAGAGAGGACCTTGACAAGGAACTCTTGTACGAGCCCACGATGTCGTTGTCGGCGATGATGTCCGTGCTGTGGTACTTGGCGCGAGCAGTGGCGAGGTCCAACGTCGGCGACCTCACGTATCTCCTCAGGGAATCGTGCGAGGAGGACGGCAAGCTGCCGTAATGGTCGAAGACGGACCGCGCCTCCGGACTGTGATGACCGTACGACGACGACGTCGTGTTCAAGGATTCGCTGTATCTCTCTCGCTCGACCGGCGACCTCCTGCTGGTCACATCGTCACCGTATAGACCGTAACTCTTGTCCGCCCTGAGAGAGAGAGAGACAAACGAACCAGAAAAAGAAGGAGTAAAAATTTGTCTCGCTAGTGAGTGAAACAAATTCTTCATTTTTAATTATTTAGTTTGGTCTAAAATTGTTATTTTTTTAATTTGATCTTTTCGATTTAAATATTTCAAGGTTCTTCGACTTTCGTCCTGTTCTATCCTGTTCTATCATTAAAGATGACAAATATATCAGTGAATAATTACCTGATCCTTGTCTTTAACGTCCGTGTTACAAAAGGAAAGAGGTCTAAACGTTTCGGTCCTCAGTTTGGACTACTTCAAGTCTTATACACAGTCTTATACTTATATAATAGTCACTGGGGATAAAAATATCAAGATGACACTGAGCTGTTGGAAGAAAAAAGCAAACGATCACGCGACAACGAATAAATTTCGCTGGCCAACGTATTTGGTACTGATTCAAAGATATAAAATCATCAGGCGTTGGAATCATAGATATGTAAAATGAGCGGGAGTTAAAATGACGCGGCTCGCATTATTCTCCTCTGCAAGTCGAGAAGCTCTTCACACATCTCTCTCGCTGAGCTACTTACCGACGCGTATCTACGCACATAACGTTGGTAAAACGAAAGAAAGCTGAGAAAGTCTATGCTTGCATCTCGTTTTACTCATTTAACTGCACTAAAAGTACCGTGCTCTTAATGGCCCTATTTTCTAATAGAATAATAATTAATAATTATAATAATAGTATTATAATATTACAAATATTATATATAAATATTTATTGTGAAACAAAAAAAGAATTATTATAATAAATAATTAGTTTGAAAATAGTAATTATTATGAATAATAATTCTTACTTTCAAGAATGAGGACATAATATCATCGAGAGATATGATTTCAATGAAGAGCTGTGTTAATACTTTACAAACAATACGTCATGCACGAACACATCCGGATGAGACGTTCGGAGGACGGAGGAAAAAGCAGAGATTGATCTCGCTCGATCCTTACCTCGTCCTCGGCATTCCGTAGCCGTACAATCTGTTGCGCGCCCACTCCCTGGAGCTGTTGAAGCTGGACCTCCTGGGTAGAGTCACGCTGCTTATCCCGGGCGGCGGGGCGGTCAAGGACGGTCTCTTGCGGTCGTTGAACCTCGAGTAGAAGCTACGCCTTCGTATCCGGTCAATAATGGACTCCGAGCTGTCGCCACGCGCGAGCAGGGAGTACGAGGGCGACGTCGGCGAGTGCAAGAGCGGCGAGTTCAGGTCGCCGCGATTGTGATTCAGGTCGGCCGAGCAGATCGACCAGGAGTCGAAGCTCTCGGGCTCCTCGGGCGAGAACATCTCGCTGATGCTGTCCTCCGTCGACTCCTTCGCCACCTTGACGACGTCCGTCTCACCGATCTCCCCGGGAGCAGCCGTCGGGGTATCTCGCGGCTTCTTCTCGACGTCCGCCGGCTTACCCGAGTCGACGTCCTCGACGATGGTTCGCGGACTGGCGCGCTCGTTCCGCGACTCTATGTGGTTCTCTATGACCCTGGCGCACTCGGTGACCTCTCGCTTCAGCTCGGCCACGTCCTTCGCGCGCAGCGGCTTGTCGATGACGATCTTGTTGCCAGTGATGTTAGCGTGATGCGTCATCTTCGAGAGGCACTCCATCAGCTTGTCGGCGCCGCTCTCGGGGACGTCTGTCTTGGGCGAGCCGACGTGGCACGCGACGGAATTCGCCCGGGGCGACTCGGACTTGGGCGAGTCTCTCTTCGGGGTCGTGTGCCGGAACGTGTGTTGCGGTATCTTGGACAAGTCGAGCTTCAGGCCCGCCCTGCTCGGCCGGAGCTGTTCCGGGGCCTTGATCTGGCCGACGCTGGGGTTCGGGGCGTTCCGAGCCACGGAGGAGTTCTGGGTCGACGGACTCTGCGCGTTCTGGAGAACGGAGTTCGTCTGCGGCGTGTCGACCGCTGTCGCCTTCGCGTTGGACTTACTCGGTGAAGTGTTGCTCGTCATGGTATCGTTCTTCAACGTCGTATTCTGTGCGGAATATTCGGAGTAACCTGGTCTCGCGGATGGAGCCTCTCGCGACGGAGGAGGAACGTTCGCGGGCTCCGTCTGCCTCGGGAGAGATTTCACGGGCGAAAGCTGGTCGTCGATGTTACTCCCTCTGATCGAGCTCTGCGCAGAGCCTTCGGGACTCTTCTCCTTCTTCGTCGTCGCGATTCTCTTCTTCAGCAACGGCGGCCTCGACATCCTCTCCTTCTCGTCGGACTTGCTCTCGGAGCTGTCGGATGTCTTCTTCACGACCTTCCTCACGACGCGCACTATCTTCTTCTTCTTGGTGCCGTTGAGCTCCTCTTTGTCTGCAGCTTCCTTCGGCTTCGCCAGCTTCTTCGTCTTCTTGTCCGGGTCGTCGATTTTGTCGACCTTCGTGGCGGACTCGTTCTTGCTCAACGAGCTGATGTTCTTCTTGGTCTTCATCAGCTTCTTGTCCTCGCCGCTCACGATCGGCTCCGCGTGCTTGTTGTCCCTCTGCGGGGACTCCGCCTCACCGGACAATTTCCTCGGCAGCGGAGCTGCCGGCTTCTTCTCCACGAACGAGGACGACGACGAGTCGGACTGCGCGACCTTCTCCGGCGTCTTCTTCGTCTCCCTCGGTTGCTTCTCCATCGGGGGCTTCTTCTCCTTAGAGATCAGCTCCTTCGGCTTCTCCTTCGGCGGCGATCGCTTGTACTCGCTCACGATCTTCTCGGGCGACCTCTTGCTCTCCGGCACCTTGCTCTTGGTAGCTTTACCGGTCGCGAACTTGGTCGGTATCTTGCTCGCCGCATCCTCCTCCGACTCGACCTTCGCGCATTTAGGCGGACTCCTCTTCAGCTTGTTGACGATCGTGCTCTGCGCACGGCCGCCGCCGTTCTGCTTGGCGTCCGCGCTCTTGAAGATACCCAACACCGACGTCACCCGTCCAGCCGTCTTCGACGCGCCCTTCACCTTGCCCTTGCCCAACGACAGATCCTCCACGCTCAACGCTCGCTTCAGCGAGTCGGACATCGGCATGCTCAGCGACGGGCACTCGACGGGCGGTGCGGAATTCTCGCGGAGTCCGCGCTCTTTCCGTTCCCCGGTCGGGACGGCGCCGTTCATCGTCGGCTGCTTCGTCGTCGGCTCGTCGCTCGAACGCAGTCGCTCCAGCTTTCTCTCCAGCAGGTGGAGGAAGCTGCTCTTGGAGCCTTGCCGCTCGATCTTCGCGCGCTCCTTGTCCTCCGACGACGACGCGGCTGCCTCCAGCTTGTCCTTCTGCAGCGCGTTCATCTCGTCCTTGCGCTCCTTGCAGCTCCTCTCCTCCTTGCTCTCGCTCTTGCGCCTCATGAACCGCGACTTGCGCCGCTCGTTCTCCGCCGCCTTCTGCGCCTCCTTCTCCTTCACGTACTGGCTCTCCTCTCGCGGCGTGTCGAAGAAGTCCGGCCGCAGGAAGCGCGAGATCCGGTGCTGCTTCGGCTTCGGACCTTTGCCGTCCTTACTGTCCTTCGGCTCGTCTTTGTTATTGCCGCCGCCGGCGGCTCGGAAGAACTTGCTGAGTATCGATCGCTCTTGACTCGCGCCGGCGTCCGGCGAGCCTGCGAAGGACTTCCTGCGGTCCGAGCTGAGGCTCGACTCTCTCGTCAACGAGCCGGAACGCAGCCGCAGGCTCGGGATGCAGCTGCGTCTCTTGGACGCGACGGAATTGCCCGGCTGCTCCGCGGCGCTGGTGATGAGCGCCTCCTTGTCGCACTTGTCCGTGTCCTTGTAGCTGGAGACAAGGTTCGGGTTGAACCTGTGCGGCGTGAAATTCTTCAGCTTGGACTCTTTGATGAGGTTCTCCGCGGCCAGCAGCCGGGTCTCGAAGCTGCGCGAAGACCCGTCGGGCTTGGAGAAGGACTTGCCGTAGTCGCCCAGGTTCGACGACGACTCCGTCGGCGAGGTCTCGCAGGACTTGGCCGACACGCTGGACGTCGTGGTGGTGTCCATGAGGTTCGCGTTCGAGTTGCACACGGAGACGGACTCCGACGCGGAGCCGTTCTCCACGTTACCGTCGGCGTCGGCTTGCTCCTCGTCGCGGCACGCCGCGTCGTCGATCGCCGGCTCCTCCTGGATCTTGTCCGTCGTCCTGTAGAAGGTGTCGCGCCGAGCGCCGTTCGACTTGGCCGCCGACTCCTTGTACTTGCGACCGAGCGTCATGATGTGCCGCGGCAGCAGCCCGTGCTCCTCGTGGTCGTCCAACAGGCTGATGCTCCGTCGCGGCGAGTGCCGCTCCAACTGCCTGGCCGGCTCCAGCAGGCTGTTGGTGCGTCTGATGCCGCGATCGAGCGACCGGCCCCGGTACTCGGTCTGGTCGGACGTCGCGGAGTGACGCTTCGCCAGCTCGCCGCAGGCGGAAGCCATCAGGGTCTCCCGCGTCGGCGACTGGTAGTACTTGTCGCGCGGCAACGACTGCCGGGTCTGCTCGATCAGCTGCCTGCTCAGTCGGCGCGCCAAGCTCGGGGTGAAGCTCTGCTCCAGCGACTCCTGCGTCTCTTTCCTGATTTGCGCCGTCTTCTCCGCTTCTACGTCTTCGTGTGTTTCTACTTTATCTGAAAGCAACCGAGACAGAGTCTACTATGCACGTCTCGCATGCGTGTCCGCGTATTATCGTGTTGTGTGCGTGTTCGTTTGTCTGTGAGTGTCTCTCTTTCTTTCTCTCTCTCTTTCTCTCCTTCCACGTGTCTCGATGACGACTAGCTGCTACCGTCGGGAATTCTGTGCGCGCAAGAATACTCTTCCACGTCGGTATTTATATACACTCCTTTATTTCTACATACATAAATCTTTCTTATAAAATCTGTCGAAAAGTGTAATAAATAAAATGAAACGTCTCCCTTTCTCTCTCTCTCTCTCGTTCTCTCATCGTCTCATTCTCTCTCTCTCTCTCTCTCTCTTTCTTCCTCTCTTCCTTTCAGAGTTTTGTTGTCAAGTTACCGAGTGTCCTGTAAATGGCTCCACATACCGGCTACACATATGTGGCGCTAACTGCTTTAAGCACGCGCGTATCGATGCACATTTTCAAGTCGCCGAGAAGCACTAAACGCGACTACCAACGCTCTGCCTGACTTCGGTGACTTAGAATAGTGGAAGATTTGGAGCTAGTCTTAAGGAGATCACACACACGGTATAAATAATGGCTCCCTGAAGATATGCATCAACGATACCAGCAGTATCGTATACACGTACTGTTCTGTTTTATATATAAATATATATATATGTCTATACGTATATATATATATGTATTAATACAGAAAATTATTCGTGTGTACTCATTTAACAGTGATCATGCAAGCAAGAGACTCGTTTTATACATGTCGGGAAAAAACAGTTATGATAAACTTTGAAGATCTCGACTGTTATATATATAACAGTACGATTGGTAATAATAATATTAAAAAAGAAATCACGTCCCGCACAATAAATATATGCGATATATTTATACACGTGTATATATATCACTCTTAATGCTTTCCTATAAATCACAATGTGTTAAATGAGTAGACTTAAGACAAGAAGTAGTGCACAGTGGATAATATTAAATACAATATATATATATGCATTATCAAAGCATGCGGAGACAATGTGAAGTAATAAAAACGCTGTTATTTAAACTCTTAAAAACACAACAAATATCAGCCATTTCAGACAAGGGTTAGCTTCCGCTTGCAAAGTATACAATCTTCCTTTCTTTTGTTTAATCTTTCATTTCTTTTTTCACTTTTTCTTTTATTTTCTTCTCGAGTATTTCTTCCTAACACAGTGTCACATAGAAAAATCCTCTCTCTTCCTCTCTCTCTTTGTCTATCATATAACAAAGTTATTCTCGTGTTTAGAACATGGCAACAAGTAGTAACTTATCTATCAACGACTAAACGCGAGCTATCGGCTCGGCATGATTTATTCCAATGCTGCGCAAAACGCGTTGTCACATACGCAATTTGCAATCGTCGCTCGCTAAATAATAACGGAAGCTACTTTCAAGTACGATCGGCGTTTCCGAAAATTATCGATCGACAACAGCACCGTCAAAATACGCTAAGTCATGTATACTGCGTCATTTACTTTTATATATCACTTGAACTGCAAATATATATATTTACAAGACACACAGACACATACGCCTCTACGCTACGCCCCTACTCTACGTGTACTGCGGAATAAATCATACCGATAGTAACCCCGAGGTTCGCAGGAACTCGCGAACAGAATGTCTGTCTCATCCGAAAAATCGCACGTGACGAGAGTGTTAATAGAGAGTGTATATATATATAATATATATAACTATATATTGTTTTTTTTCCGAGCGTTGTACGTTGTTCTTGTTGTTGTTGTAGTAGTTGTAGTTGTTCTTGTTATCGCGTACTCAGCACGTAACACGTCGTAATGCGAGAACACGATTATCCAACACGTCTTCCCATCGTGGCGGAAATTGTACTGTTTTGCCGGGCGCATCATAGGACTCTATGCGGTAACAGCAGGTAGATTGTCGTGACGAGGTACGAAGTGTGCGTGATCGAACGGCGAAAAAGGTATCTTTTTGGGGGTTTTTTTTTTTCTTTTTTGGATTTTTCTTTCTCGGTACAACATATATATACGAGACTGCAGCGTGACTTTATCTGCATTGTCACATTCACTGAATTAGGCGTATAGGTATAGTACCTAACTTGGTTTGTCTACTGGGGATTACCGTCAGCCCGCCTACGTAGAGTCACTCGCACGGTCGCTGCAACAACCGTCAATAAAACCGTCAATCAAACGTGTCACAAAACGGCGCCACTGTGATTTATTTTTTTTTTCTATATAAGACATATTTCTTTTGGTAATAATTGTTTGCTAACTTATTAGCCAAATGCGATGTCACCGAGAAAATCTCGACATGTATCCTTAAACAGGGTCTTCTTCTTGCGTTCGTCAAATGCAATTTACGTAATCATTGGTTGCAAGTAATTATCGTTAACGCGAGAAAAAGATGTTACCTTGATTACTTTCTCTTTTGATCTTCAGTCATTGTGTTAATTACATCTCTAGAAACAGAACAGAAAAGAAACATGAAACAAAATCGCTTTGATAAGTATGACAAGTTACTACAATCAAATCGGCTGTCGTTGAGAGAAATTTGAAAAGAAAAAAAGATCAATCCGTAGAAGTCCCTGTCGTGAGAGTTCATCAAGTCGATCGAGTCGTGAAACCGTAGTATTTTGTCTGAATACTGATTTATACTTAAGTATCGCCGCGTATCGCAAAAACTTCTCTCCAGTATCATCAATATACACCGCTAACAAACAATTATTTCGATTACTGATTGAAGAGTCGACGATAGACTTAAATTAATTGCATGAACTTGAATTAAAACATGGATTTCTGTCTTGGATAGTGGAAAAATCGAGATTTTTCTTTTTTACATACTGTATACATAATATATCATGTATATATATATATACATATATGGATGTGTGTGTGCAGTCATGCTCAAAAAATTTTTAGCGTTTTAACACTAGGTAAATGAAAGAGAAGGAGCTGCCACTACGATGTTATGAAATAATAGAAATCAACAGCAGCATTGCATTGCAACAACTATGGCAGTATTACGAGGTTCTATGTCAGGCAGAGTGAGCTTGCAATTTTTAATCTGTGTCTCTTTAATTTACTCGGGGACAAACCGTACGTGTTATTCTATTAAGTTATTAAGAAAAAAAAAATATCTCCCAATGTTCAAATATATGTACGTGTATCTCTTTCTCTCTCTCTCTCTCTCTCTCTCCTCCTCTCTCTTTTCTCTCTCGCTCTTTCGTACAAAAAACGATATTAATTTGCACAAACGCGTCATCGCAAGATCTCTACACAAGCTTTATACTTGAACAAGTAAAAAAAAAAAAAAAGAAAACAAAACTTATGAAAAATAGATTAGCTGTAGGTAGGCTTTATCAAAGGACCAATGGATCGTGCAGACATGCTGTCGAGAGTGCAAAGAGTCCCTAATAAAGGTGATGTTGAAAATACTTATCATCCCCAATAAGTTAATATCTCGCAAGTTATACGAGAATTATCGAATGGTTTCCCCCCTACGTTTATTGCTTCGTCAAAAACGGATGTTAAATTCGGGAGAAACACGTCAACGTGGGACGTGAGAAAATTGAACGTTTGGAAAAATCAACCGATCATTTTGCGTAACTTTGCTCTCACTTTTACAGGACGGATCAATCGTCTCCTCTCTCTCTCTCTCTCTCTTTGTCTGTTTCAATTTCCGATACATACTCATCTGTGCCGAACATGAACCGTGTAACTAGTCTAGAGTGTGTTAGTACCAAAAAAAGTCGCAAAACATCGTCAGGCAAGAAATCAAAAAATTCACCCGTCGGCGAGAAAGTGAACGGAAGAAAAACAAAGAAGAAGAAAAGAGAGAAACGATAAGTAAACTAGTAAAAAGTAAACAAAAAGGTGTGCTCTGTCTATCAACGACTCGACAACAGCTAGGTACTAGGAGATGCATACTGAATACCATCCAGCATTTTCTCACAAGGCTAATAAGTTTAACCAGTGACAAAATAGCACGATGACCATAGCGATTTAACAGAAGCTCGGGAGCCGCCCTCGGCGGATCTTGCCGCGGCCGCGCGATCGCTCTATCGCATCGGATCGTCGATGTCTCGGATCCAAACGATAGTCGACGTCTTGGTAAAAAGGTACAGAGAAGTACAGAAATTCAACTACGGCTTCTGTGAAGGCGCGAGTCAACATTCTACAACATTAAATATTCCTAGTGCACAATTCGCCGGTGGACCTTGCGCGAACGACGAGTCCGTGAATTGCCTTTCACAAGAGCGCAGGACTCGAGTTCGGATGTTCTTCCTTAAACGTTCCGCGTGCGCCACACGATTTTCGCGCAAGGTGCCACGTTGAATTGCAGAGAATGATTTGTATTACACTCTCTTACCTCTCGGCAACGTATTGCTCCCGATCTCGAAGACACTTTCCCTGGAGGGAGTGCCGCGCGATCCGGGGCTGCTCGGCGTTCCAGGGTTCGACGTGCTGGCGGTGTGCTCCCTCTTCGAGAATATATCCGCATCACGGCTCAGAGAATGCTTAAATTGCGATTCGGAGAGCCGCCTGCATGCAACAGGAAAGAACGTCGAATTATCACTCGGTGCGTAGGTACGCGACCGTATTTTTTCCGTCTTTGGCGCATCGAACGTGAAGGCTCTCACGCTCGAAGGCGGAAGAGAAAAAGAAAGGCAGAGCGTGAGAAAGAATATATATTCACATTCAGTGTCGGATCGTCTGTGTTACGAGAGAAAAAGAGAAAGAAAGAAAGACAGAGAGAGAGAGAGAGAGAGAGAGAGAGAGAGAGAGAGAGAGAGAGAGTGCAAATAAGTCGTAGCCGACGAAGGCGAAATCAGTACTGGCAAGGTGTTGGCATGAAGCAAAGGGTGTCACAGCCTATGCGGGTTGATCGTAGATATTTCGGGCTTGCTTATTTTCACAACGTGTACACTCGGGTGTGTCTCTCGTGTGTGGTACATCGATCATGTCGCTGAGGTGAACGAATTGGGTTGACACTAACAAAATGTATACGTAAATATATGCGTGATGCTGATGTTTAACCTGCTCGTTAGCGTGTGTCCAATTGCGATTTCGGCGTTTTCGCTCGCGCGCAAAACCGTGACCGTGACAAGTTTCTCTACTTGTGTCTCTTTGTTCGGTTTCTCTCGGCTAGTAGCGGGCGTTACACACTACGTTCTATTACACAATTTCTTTCTGAACAATTGGACTCACGTAGTCATGGTCCGTGTTTCGACATAGCTCTCGTAGCTTGCACAGACAAGCATAAAACCACCGTCACCATATCGCTAATCATTAGAGTTGGAGGGGAGGTATTATAAACAGCAAGTTTTATTAATGGAATGCTCGGTAATACCTGTTAATTTAAAATGGCAACGATCTCTCTCCACGCGAGAGGGGGCAGCGGTTTGCGCAGTAGTTACCTGGACAACGGCTTATTGAGGCCCCAGAATGCCTGGGACGGTTGGGCGCCGAGCCGGCCGAACAGTCTGCTGCTCGGGAAACCGCCCGGTCGATTATCATCGACATTGAGTCGCTGCGTGAGACTTCGCACTCTGGACAGTAAGGTCGAAAACAGATTCTCAGCGGTCAGCAACTCGAAACCGTCGTCGTCGTCGTCCTCGCCTGACGACAAGCTGTCGGCGTGCTCGGACGGCTGTCTCGACGGTCGCGAGCTCCTCAACCGGTGCATGTGCCTTTGCAGCAAGTCCTCGCTGTCCAGAGAAAGAATTTTGCAACGTGAGTTACGCTCGGCTTTAGCGCAGGTAAAGGTGTTCTTTATACCTGTACTTTTTGAACGGTCTTGCAATTTTTTTTTCTTTCCATTTTCTTTTCTCTTCCAGATGTGTCGAATATGCGCGTCTGCTTCGTTTTAAGACTTCTTCGTCGCAGCCATCTTGATTAATGACGCCAGAATTTTTGCGGAATATTCATTGAAATAAAAAGATATGTTCGTTGAATAATATTTGTAATCAATTTAAGCGTATTTTTAAAGTATTTCAAACATTTTTCTTTTACCCCGGCTATCAATAAATAGCCATAAAATTCACGTGACAAAATCGTAAAAAAATAAGCTAAGAAGGAAAGTTGCGTCACGTTAATTTTACGATTATTTATTGATTGTTAGAGAGCGAAAGAAACGTTTTCGTAATATTTTACAAATGTATCAATCGATCACAAGTGCCATTTTATGGACGTATCTTTTCAATTGGATAAGTACGATTAACCACATCTCTATTGACTACAGACTACACCGATTGGCCGATACTAGAAAATCTCCGAATCACGGCCGGCAGTGCTTGGTGGTGGTCAGTCGTAACGTGGTCAAAAGAGACGCTTTCCTCTTAACTTAACGTATTTTGCAGGAATTTTGGGCACACATTTTCTCGCTTCTGACGCCATCAACCAAAAACGGCAGCTTTAAGTACAGATAACGCGATTTATCGCAGCTATAAAGAACAGATTTCGTACGATTCACTTTCGATAACATGGCACGATAGTGTGTCTACCTGTGTAACGAAGAGAATGGTGATTCGTCCTCGCTAGCGTCTGATAGAAGAGAGCTCATTCGCCTCGGTCTACCAAATCTTGACCTCGGTGGGTTCGTGCTTGTCGGTGTGCTGGTCTTGCTCTCCGGCTCCAGGCTACCCGATCTGGGTGTCACGTAACCACCACCTTCTACGGCGATGGGAATTATGTACTCCCGCGGGCTCTTCCTGATAGGTTCCGGGCCCACAGTGGAGCCGAGAGCGCTGTCGGTGTCCGAATCAGCTGTCGATTGGCGAGATAGAGAACTCGATCGTTGAGACATTGATCGTTGGGACATCGGCGGCTTAGGCGGCGGGGTAGACGAGTGCTGAAGAGGGTGCTCGGGTCCGGTCTCCACCTACACTCGCGAAATCACAATTGTTATGTTGAAGGAAAATATGCTGAGAAAATGGCTGACTCGTAATTTTAAAACAATGCTTTATGCCCTAATTTTTTGTCTAAATTATCAATTTCTATTTTTTTTATTATACGGTTTATTATTAGCGGTTTATTATCAATCATGAATCAGAATAGAAATAACGGCTGCTTAATTTAAGACCTCAGACACAAGAGAGTTATTGTGCGTTATTTAAGACCGATACTTAAGGAGGCTGCAAGGCTCCAAGTCGCATTTTAGTGGCGTATTAAGAGGGCCACTTATAAATTTAGTATTTATCAAGCAAAATTACGTTCCCATATATTTATTTCACTAACTAAATAATAAATGTCAATTTGAACCGAAGCTGAATTTATTAAAAATTATTGAACATGTACGAATTTATTAAACATATATACATATATCAAAATATATCAAAATATTCTTTATTTTTTTTTTTTACTAATGCCATATAGATAATAGAAAGAGATATTTGTGTTCAAATATACACATATATGTACGTATTTTGAGTATTACTATAAACTTTACACTGCCATATTTTCAAAATAAAATGGTAAAAATAAAATAGTCAAACAAAATAATTCAAAAATTTGTGTATAATGTCTGCATATCAGTCTTTAATATCATAGCAATTTTTTATCAAAACCTTGCTTTTAGTTTAGAAGATATTAAAAATAAAACTTAAAAATAGCACGATAATCGCTCAAAGAACACATATAAAAAGTATGAACTTTAGTTACAAATATCTCATTTCTTGAATGGTTAATTTTTTCTAAATTACAAGAACAGTTAGATAATATTTCAGTGCGTACGTAGTGCAAGTTTCATTCGAATCCTTATCAAACTTATTTCGCCTTACAACCTCTTTAAGGCATAAAATGTTGCCTTAAGCCGATAAATTAGCCATTCTGCTGAGATCCCAAGACCCTAAGACGTATAGCTTCAGATAAAGTCGGATGATTCTTTCGTACCTGGATAGGGATGATTCTCTCTTTTGGCGGTGCAGCCTTAGGTCGGCCCTCCGGTTCCAAGCTCGAGCTCCTATTGACATGAGGCACCGCTGCGGCGACCGGGAATGCCACCTCCGATCTTTGTGTGCGCAGCTTCTGCGGCTGAAAAGCATCGATCTTAGCCTCCACCTCGGATTTAAACGCCACCGTTTCAGGCGGCTTGGTTCCGGACAACGTGATCTCGGCCTTGCTCGTCTTTCGTCTGGGTAAAGTCGCGCTCTTCAACGTTATCTCCATTTTACTGGACATCTTAGGCTCCTCCAATTGCGACCTGTCGCTAGCTGCCGTGTCGAACGTGCTAGTTATCTATTGAGAAAAAGAACGGCAAGTAAAGTAGAAGAAATATTATACATGAACTGGCTCTGAACTTGCCGGTTTAGCCAAAGAAAGAAATCCAAACAACATTTATGTCTGAAAAACGTCTCAAAGACTTTCTTTTAGACGTCTTATCACCGTTACGTCAACGTTAAAAAACGTTGTTACAACGTATTAGGATGTCTTGATGTTACCTGGGCAAAGTATCGGGCTTTTAAAAGCCAAAGTACGGATTGTTTAATGCTATTATATAAATATATATTGTTAAACAATTACCACAATTGCCACAAGCAATTAATATTTAATAATATTAATATTTAATAGCATTAAAAACCTCGTGCTTTCGCTCTTAAAGGCCTGACATACTCTATTTTACTTTCTTCGGTTAAAGAAGCAGAATCAAATCGTCGAGAGGAATGCGAGTGATCGATGAAGCGCTAAGAGCGTGAACAGCGTCGTGAGACTTACAGATGCCTCGGGTGCTGCTGAAGACTTAGGCTCGAACGCGAACTTCGTCTCGACCGGCGTGGAGACCGACACGGTGGCCGATCTCACGTCGTTCGGCGCGACCTGTATCTTCAGCCCGAGTTTCTTCGGGTCCGGGCTCTGGGGGGAGATCGGCGGCGAGCCGTTCATCGGCTTCCTCTGCATCGGGGGCTTGCCGATCGCGCCGGTGATGATGTCGACGGCGCGTTTCTTCGCCTCGTCTCGCTTGTTATCCGACTTGTCGTCGGTTGCCGTCGCCTGCTCGCTCGTTACCTGCTGCTGTTGCTTCTCGTCCTTCTCGCTCTTCTTGCTTTCCGTTGGTACATCGATGATAACTTTGGACGCGCTCGCTTTCGCGGTCGGCGGAGCGGTTATGGACGAGAGGCTGGCTTTCCGCTCAAAGGCTCGCTTCGCGCCCCCTACGTTGACACCGGGAATAAATATCTTCTTGGGTTTCTCGCTGTCTGCGGTGGACGCCAGCTGATTGAACTTCTCCGCGGTCTCGAATATCTTGGAGCGCCGTCTCTCGACGGGCTTGGCGGGCGCGCTCGCCGCCTCGTTCGACAGCTCGGAGTCTAAGGAAAGTGCCTTTTCTTTGAGTTTCTTGAAATCTCCCTCCGTCGGCTCCGAGTGCTGCTGCTGCGCATCACGCGGTAAGTACACCGCCTCGTTCCTCGTGCTACTAGCGTCACTCTCATTTGGCACTTTTGATTCGAAAGCATCGAAAGCAGACTCTGACTTCTTGCTGGGCAACGTTGCCTTGTCTGCTGTTTTATTATTATTATTACTACTGTTATTATTGTTATTATTACGCGAGCTCTCTGAAGCGTTACCGCTTACGTCTTCACAGAGACTCTTGCTGGGAGACTTGGTGTACTTTTGTGGAAACTTGTCTTCCACGTTGCTGACCTTTTGATTAGTCTCGTAGATCGGCCGAGCGCCTTCGGCGGACGACGATATCGGCTCGCGCGACTCCTCGTGTTCGTTCACCAACGGCGTCTGGCTCCTCTCCTTGCTCAGCGATCTCTCTTTTGATTCTTCGATCAGCTCCAAGCAAGCCGCCGCACCTTCGATTTTGTCCAAATCGACGGTCTTGCTCATAGGAACAGTTACCACGCCTGCTGCGGGCTCCACCTCCATCGCCTCCTCCGATATAGAATTCGGGATCGGTGCTGAATGGTGCCTGAAATAACATCTCTCGATGACGGAACGCCGGTGTTTTCTAAACTTCAAGCGGAATCGAAGCTCAACTTCCGGAAGGTAATTATAAGTGACCAGAAAACGTTGTATGTATACGTAATCGAGAAGATGATTCTCTCTCTTTCTCTCTCTCGTGTGATAAAAAAAAAGAGTCACTAATAATAACACATAATTAGGAAATAACTTACCTCGACGAGGATCTGTATGCTCTGGGCTCTCTCTCATCCGACCTCTCCTTCCTCCTAGACCTCTCTTTCCTCTTCACGCCCGCCGCGGCAGTCTCGTCCATCGATGGCGTCGTCTCCAGTTTCCTCTTAGCGTCCCCGGCCGCGGAAGATCTCGGCTCTTCGTCAAATAGCTCCCTTATCCTTCTGTCGGAGCTGTTCTGATCAAGCTCCATCAAGCTACCGACCGAGTGACACCTCGTAGGCACCAGGGTCTCGGAGGACATATTGTTCGCGACGTCTCCGGCCGCCTGTTGATCGCCCACGAGTAGTTTCTCAGCGCTGGCCGACTGTGGCACCAAGGACAGCAACAGGTCCAGCCGCACGGGTGTCTGAGCTGCCAAATCCTCGGCGATGTCGAGGCAATTCTGCTCGTAGCCCTCGTTCACCCACCAATGGGTGCAGATCCTTTCGATATCGGCGCGTCTGCCGGGGCACACGGTGAGCATTTCTTTTATGAGCGGCGAGGCGGCTGAAACAAGAGTATAGTTGATTAAAAAAAGAGATAACACAAATATCTGCGCTAACATTCTTCTCGTTGATTAAACATAATTCATTGAAATTTACTCTGCGAAATTATCGCGAATTTATCTTAATTAATTTATCTCAACTATCCCTTTGCGAGACATCGATTCATGAAATACTGTACTTACGGGATGGTTTTTTCGGCTCGAAATAATCGGATTGTGAGATCTGTTTGACTAGTCGCTTGAAGTTAGACCCGTCGAAGGGCATAGCACCGTAAACCAATGTGTAGAGCAAGACGCCTAAACTCCAGCAATCCACTTCCGGTCCATGATAAGGAGTCCCTTTCACTATTTCCGGACTGGCGTACAATGGACTGCCGCAGAACGTGCTCAACAATCGTTGCTCATCGAACACGTTCGAGAGACCAAAATCGGCTATCTTGGCGTTTCCCACTTGGTCCAGTAAGATATTCTCGAGCTTCAGGTCTCTGTGGCAGATCTTATGTTTGTGGCAATAGAAAACAGCGGTGGCTATCTGCCGGAATATTCTGCGGGCCTCCTGCTCGCTCAGAACCTTGCGTTCGCTCAAGTAGTCGTACAACTCACCGCCCGCTGCGTATTCCATCACCAGCACCATCTTTTCTCTGTTTTCGAAAACTGTAGAAACAAAGATACTCAATAATCTCGCGTGTAAATTACATCGAAAAACGACGCGAGAGCGTCAATTTCGCCGATCTTAGTTAACGCTAATCAAGAGATCAGGCTACCTTGACATTTTCAAAAAATTAGATAATTCTCTTGCTTTAAATTAAGGTTTATAATCTTAAAAATAATATACAAGTGGTCAAATTTGAAAATTCGCGATATTTTGTGAGTTACAATGTCGCGTGTGAGTAGCGATACAGGTACGTTCGAGCGCCTGGGTGTGGCCGGAACATGTAAATAATAAATTACCTTTTAGCATTTGTCATTACTTCGTACTTGCCTTCTTTCTCATGTTTATATTAGTGTGTGTTTCATGTTAGTATCGGAATTTTAACCAGTCGTTCAGCCGAATTCAACAAAGCTGGAGCTCTTACGTTTAAACACTTGTGTACTCGTTAAAAGAACACGAAATTACAAATTCAATATTCGTTGGATCCGTATATCGTCGTGAAAATATCGTATCCGATGATACGACATAAATGGCCCAATCCTTTAGCAGTTTTTATACTCGTATAACATTAAAACCTTAGCGCGAGCGGATCATTACCTTCGTAAATGTGAATGATGTTCGGATGTTGGACACTCGACATAATTTGTATTTCCCTTCGTATCCTTATCAGATCGGCCTCCGTGTCGATTTTGCATTTCTTGATCGTCTTTATCGCCACTTCCTGGCCAGTCTCCTTGTTTATTCCTAATTGAACTTTGCCGTAAGTGCCTTGTCCCAGCTTCTTTATGATGTCAAATCTGCAAATTTACGATTTAATTTTTTGAAACTAACTTTGGAACGACATTAATTCAGACGCTTCCTTCGCAACGGTACCTGGAATTTACGAATGTGATCTTTCTTTTGAAGCCGCACAAGAGCATCTTTCCGTGAGCGGAAAAACGGATTACGCGCGTTACGTGCCTAGATTCGCTATCGATTTACATACCTTTGTTTTAGCTTCCGCTTGTGATTATGAAGACGCACACCACCCGTGCTCTCCATCCCCCCCATTATGTTGTGTATATTCGGCTCCCCGACGACCATCTTGCCGGTGCCTATCTGAAATGAGAAAAAACAAATGACAAATTTGTTGGTAAACAATCTTTTACTCTTATCTCATAAGTTAAGAGTTGAAGAAGAGAGGAATGTTAAATATATAAAATAATATACGATATGTAATATATAACTTAAGGATATAAAACATGTATAATACGTAACATAACGTGCTGTGTCAAGAAGGCGATGGTGAGACTGAAATCCAAAAGTTTGACCGAACAAATATTAATCTGATCGATAAGAAGTAATCTCACGAGATAAGAAGCAATCTCTCACTCTTATCTCACAAAATCTTGCATGTTACACACTATTCTGTATATATGGCATTTTTCCGGCGCACTAAAGATCAAAGACAGTTTCGGAGTTGAAGTTGGGATTTTTCAGACGGCGAGAATCCCGTGTTAATTTCATCCTGGCGGGCGGGTGAACGATTCCCGAATCGTCCCGAAACGGCGACGTTATTGCGACGCGATTCTTTCTCTCTCTTTCTTTCCTCACATTCTCTCCCATTTTTTTTTTTTAGGCGCTTCCTGCCTCCCAGGCGGAACCGCCGGCGTATACGCTCCTACTCTCTCGTAAACGAGGATGACAGCGGCGAAAAGTAGCTATAGCCACCCGAGCCTTACATTAGAAGATGAAGAAGGCGGAGGCGAGGGGTGGAAGAGAGGGAGAGAGAGCAAGAGAGAGAAGCAGAATGCGGTGAGTTTATTTCGGGCGTCGAGACGCCAGTGTATGCCGACCCGTCGTCGGTAGGTTTCTCATCTGCATCGTCTTCTTGTCCTCCTGCCTGTGAACGCACGGAAGAGACTACCCGTCGCTAATTTCCTCAAATTTCCCCCGGAAAATCACGCGACCGAGCCCTCGGGAATTTTTACGCAAATTACCCCGTATAATTATCGCGCACTCTGAATCAGCGATTAATGAAAAAACGAAAATACATCAACTTTATAAACGTACACGATAATATAGAATGTAACTCGCGAAAATAGTGCTGAGCGATTGGTTATTCGCGATTCGTTTAATATTCATTTCGATTTATTTAACACACGTTACAGTCCGTATGCACATTTCTCTTCGTATCAGCGAGCTAAAGATAAAGCACGTTTTAAACTTTTTACCTATTTTCAAATTTCACGCGGAGTTTCAGAGAATGTTAAAAAAAGAAAATAGCAACCCGTGATGTGTTAATTTTACATTCGCTCAGAGGCGCGCACATGTGAACGCTGCTTCACATCGAGACGCCTAATTTTTACCGAGAAAGCAAGTCGATTTCGGGTTTTTCCCATCTCGTCGAATTGCGATTTAGGGCAGAATGGCTAATTTATGATATTAAGACAATATTTTACGGTCTAAATCTTTGTCTAAATTATTATTTTTTTTTACTTTTCTTTTTAATTATATAGCGGTTTATCATCAGCCACAAATAGAATAGCTTTTTAATTTAAGATTCCAAACACAAGACAGTCACTATTTAAGACCGACTAAGGCATAAAATGTTGTCTTAAACTGATAAGCCAGCCATCCTGGCAAGGTCTTTGCCGTAAAACGGAACGAAGCTTCGCGACACGATATTGGCGAATTCAGATCCCCGAGTAGACCTCAGATGTTACTACTTCGTGATTTACGCATTCTTTCACTCCGAAAACGTCGTTAATATCACCCTCGAACGATTAATGAGACATAATTATTACCGGACAGTATAAACGATCGCGAGCCGTGCGTCAACCGACCCGCCAGCTTTCGTTATCTCGATTTTTCATCGCCGAAATAACTAAGCGCCTATGTGGCGCATAAATTACGTTGCGATTTCGTCAAAGAGCGACGTTTACGTCGACGACATAAATCATCGACATATGTATACGGCGCGTTTCTAAAACGCTCGTCGAATGTCTCAAACCGAGCCCGCTTAATTCATAGCCCGTCTTTTCTTTTCTTCAGCGAATTCGCGGGAAAGCGAGTCGCGATCCAAACTTATGAGGAAGGAAATCAAAACGAATGGCAAACTTTCGTTTCGCGTGCGGTCTCAATTGAATTCTAACTTCTACCTCACTTTTCATGCTTTGCCCCCTCTCCCATTTAACTATCTTTACTATTGTTATGTGATTTACTCACGCAGAAAAATAATTTTGCTGTTGTGGAGAAGCCATCGTTGCAACAGCAATAAAATTAAGTAATCAAATTATTTCAGCGTATTATTCATAATTAGAACAGCAATAATTTTGTTACCAGGAAAGAAAATATTCTGTTGAGTGAATTTGTCCTCGGATGACACGTTAATTTGTTGTTAAAACAAAATAGTGTCTTCCTATATTCGCTAATTTGCCCTTACAACAAAATAATTTATAGATTTAGTATAATAATTCAGAGAATAGCAATTAGTATTCTTAACAATAAATCTAATAAATCATTTTATCGTCCATATCGTAACTGACAGGTTTTGCTGCAGCAGCATAAAATTTGCTGTGTCAGGAAATAATTGTTCTCCGTGCTTTATTAACTACTTTTACTTATTTATTTTCGCCGCTTTTCTAGTTATCTATTCTACTGAAACAAAAACTCGTTTTTTCTCTCATTAGTCTTTTGTCCAGAAATCCCAGAATTTTTACGGACGCGAAATCAGATGCGGCTATCAGAGAGATGGCGGGTCAAAACGCGGAACAAAACGCCGTACATTACATTGATCGATTGTATTTTAAAATAAATAAATATTACACGTATACATTTTAGTCAACAGACAAAATGAACTTTTGCGTCAACCCAATAATATCGAGAAATGCGACGGAAGAAAATATATAAAGAAGAAAAATCAAATCAAACATTCGGTCAGATTTTCGCGCTATGGAATAGAGCCGGCTTCGGATTGCTATCGCGAAATACAAAGCCCGTCTCTTTTCGTATTTCAGCGACGATTTGTATAATTGGCAGTATTGGCGAGCGGTTGCATTTTGTACGGGCGGCAAGCAACGTCTGGACGGCGGCGTCGTTGCGCCCAGCCAAGGTCCGTCCGAAAGGAAAATAATCTTCCTCTTGAATCGGGGCGGCCCTGTGGCCTCCTCAACCGAAAGAGAGAGAGAGAGAGAGAGAGAGATCATCGTCGCGCGACTATTAATGCACCGCAATATGGATAACGGCTGGCTCAAGTGCTGCGCCCGCGTTCAGGCGCCTCGGAAGGAGCGAAAACGGTGGCCGCTCTCTCCCCGAGGGTGAATGAAACTCAGAAGAAACGTAGCGACGCTGTTCCGCCGACGTCGATCGAGCGCGTCGAGGTTGAGATCCAGCCGGAGGACGAGTTTGTATAACCGCCTACTGTTACGTGCCGCAACGCAGGACTTTTCTTTTGACCTTTCCCTCGGAAATGTTCTATTGACCTCGGGTATCTTTCGACCGATAGTGCGGCTCGAACTTCGGACGATATCTGTGTAAGTCCTTTGAACCTTTTCCTTCGAGCGCGAAAACACACTTTTTTTCTTTTGAATCTTAGATATCCTGGTAGCTCGGGCCTCGGCCTTAGATTCATAAATCTCGAATTATGTAAACCGCGGAGATACGCCGGAAACTGTTTTGAAATAAATATATCTATCTATCTTATAATAATATATATCTTATCGGTACCGATTCGTAATCTGTGTAAACGAATTCTTTCTCTTCGATTGTCCGTCGAAACTTAACCGTGAGCTAGCCAAACAGAGAAAAGGATTCAGTTCCTGCAATAGAATAGAGACCGGTTGAAAACTCGGCAAGAAATGAAAGCTCGGCAATAAGAAGCGATATCTCTGTTATCGCAATTGGAAACATTTGTGTGAACATTCGGCTGCATTAAAATTCGGTTGAGATAACTGAGAGCACAATTGACCGAGCAGAAATATCCTACAGGAATCTTTCTGTTCCCACGACCGAGTTTTTAGTCTAACTCTCAGGTAACAAAAAATTCAGTTAAATCGACTTTTTTTTTCTCGTGAAACATCCGCGAAGAAAAAGAAGCGGAAATTATACTTATACAAAAAAAATTCAGTTCCTGTAACTGAATAGGAACCAGATAAAAATTCAGTAACGAGGAACATTTCTGCACTGAGAAGAAGAAATTGAAATTTTGTGAAGTAAATATTTCTTGTGACAATTTCTCCAATATTTATTGGTTAAAAAAAAATTTGACTATGATGACGGAATATACATTTTTGGGAAATATATTTAAGTTCCCTTATTAACTGGTTTGTACTATATGTTAGAAATAAAACTTTATTTCGCCGTATTTAAATATAACATTTATCTCTGTGAAATAAACCTTACATTTCACAGATAAATTTTTAATTTTTTTTTCTCAATCTGTTACCGCAACTGAGAACATCTGTATGAACACAGCTGTGTCAAAACTCGGTTGAGGCAAGAGAGAGCAATTGACTAATTGGAAACTTTCTAGAGGAATTTTCCTGTCTCTGCAATCGAATTTTCGCTCCCCAGGCAATGGAAAATTCAGTTACGCCAATCGTTTCTTCCATGCGATTATGATTCGATTCGACATTATTTTTGTATCAAGTGTTATTGGAACTTCTATACGTCCAAGATACATCAGTTTTTGATAAAATGTTACGTTTTAATAAACGTTTGATTACACGTTACGATCAATGTAGAGGGATGTAGTATTGGAAAAATTTCGGTGACGTTCGGTCGTTTTCAATAGTAATGTCTAGTATTTTAAAATAGGAACGCAAAGAACGTTAGCGGAATTAATGTCGAGTAAACAGACGCATTGCGAGCACAAACGTCGAGCGGAACGCGTTTCAGAGAGCAGACAATAGTGCGAGAAGTATAACGGATGTCTGTGTCGCTCCAAAACTTCCATCGCGTGCTACGCTCGCGCACGCTGTTTTCGACGATTAGGCAACTCGAGAGGATAGCCGACAATAAAAAGGAAATATACAATACGACAGTTAATCTGTCATGGCGCCGCACCAACAACTTGAAAAACAGAAAGAGAGAGAAAGAAAGAGCAACACACACATACA